TTCTTCTTCTTCTTCTCCTTCATCCTCCTCTTCCTCTGCTCCTTCTTCCTCCCTCCCTTCTTCTCTTCCTCCTTGTGTGCCTTCAAGCAATGTCAGACTTATGGCAACCCCATCAAAGGGTTCCCTTGGCAAGATTTGTTCAGGGAGGGGTTCCCATTGCCTACCTCTGTTTGAAAGATGCCAGGTGTCCAAGCTGAGTTCAGAAAAGGAAGAGGCACTGGAGATCATATTGAAAACATATGTTGTTTAGTAGCACATAGCAAAGAAATTCAGAAAAAAAACGGCCTGTGCTTTATAGATTACAGCCCTTGACTCCATACAGCATGAAAAACTATAATTCTCTGCATGCACAATGGAAATGCCACATTTGATTGCCTTGGTCCATAACCTGTACAGCGGAGAAGAGACCACTCTCAGGACAGAACAAGGAGGAAAAGAATAGTTTTCCATTGGCACAAGGGTTCAAATAAGGCTGGATTTCTATCATCCTGTTTTATTTATACACTGAAAACATAATGCAGAATGCTGGATTAGATTTGGAAGAAAGGAATGTGTAATATAAGAGGAAGGAACATCAACAATTTAAGATATGCAGATGACACCATACTACTAGCAGAAGCAACAAAGACTCAGAGCTGCTATTGAGGAAAGTGAAGGAAGAAAGTGTAAAAGCAGAGTTACAATTGAACATTAAGAAAATGAAAGCGATGATCACAGATCATTTCCATAGTTTTAAAGTGAATAACAAGGGTTGCATCTGCACTGCAGAAACAATCCAGTTTGACGTCACTTTAACCACCATGGCTCCATGCTTTGGAATTCTGGGAATTGTAGTTCGTCATGGCACCAGAGCAGAGAATTCTGTAGCATGGAGCCATGGCACTTAAAGTGGCATCAAACCAGATTAGTTCTGCAATGTGGATGCAGCCAAAGATAACAAAATAGCCAAAGATTTTCTGTACCTTGGCTCAGCCATAAATCAAAATGGAGACGAGAGTCAAGAAACCAGAGGAAGGGTAGGACTTGGAAAAGGCAGCTATGAAGGAACTATGTAAGATCCACAAATGTCAAGATATATCGATGAATCCCAAAGCCAGGATCATCTGTGCCATAGGATTTCTATTTTGTACATATGGATATGAAAGCTGAACAGACAAGAATACTTGACAGGAGGAAAATAAAAAGGCAAATCAATGAGCCCAATAGCAAGTCAAGCCTGAGCTCTTACAAGTAGTCAAACTGACTGAATTGAGACTATTGTACTTTGGAAATATCATAAGACAACATGACGCATTAGAAAAGATGGTGATGCTTGGCAAAGTGGAAGGCAGTAGGAAAACTGAAGCCCCCATTACAAATGGATTGACCCAATAAAGGAAGCCACAGTTCCGCATTTGCAAGACCTGAGCAGGGCTCTGAGAAGACTCTCATTCATGGGGTTGCCATAAGTGAAAACCAACTTGATGGCAAACAACAACATAGTCTTTGACACTTATGAGAGTCATGCTGGCTGGGGATGATGAGACTTGTAGTTCAAGTAACCAGAGGATACTAGGTGATAGAGGACTGGTGTAAGAGGATGAAGAACTAAGGATTGATCTAGTTACCTTCTTCTGCCATCTTTTGCTCATAAATTAATGCTTGAAAGAAGCTGAGAAGCAGGGCTTGAGGGTAACAGTTTGCTCCTGTTGTTATTGGACCTTATCACATGGAATTGATTAAATCCCGTGCAGAAACTGGATTTAAAAATCCGAAAAAAACCCCACAAAAGTGGCTTGTTCTTCAGATGTGTTTGTGTAAAGGAGAAATAAGGCGACATTAACCCAAACAGAAAGTCACCCAAACCCACTCCTTTTTACTTTCAGAAGTTCCCAAAAGTAAAAAGGAACAGGTTTTGGCGACTTTCCGTTTGGATTAATGTCGCGTTATTTCTCCTCGACGCCAACGTCATGTGAAAAACAACCCGCTTTTGTGGGTTATTTCTACTTTCTGT